CCGCCGCCGACATGGACAGATCGACGCCACCCAACAATACCGGACGACACCCTCCAGAACCAGGTCCGCTGCTCACCGCCGGGAGGATTCCGCCACCCCCCGGCAGTGGTGCGTACGGCAAGTACAGCTCCAGTATAAACCAGGAAGTGGCTGTCACGGGAACACTGATCGACGCCGGATGTTCTACGTTCTAAAGAAATCGGCTCAACTTCGTGCTAAATCTTTTCCCTTCGGCATCGATCGACACCAGATTTCTATGTATAACACCGTCGCGTTATCGTCGTAGAGCGATCGTTCGATTTCGTTGGACGCGAAACTGCTTCGTTAAAAGCGTTACTTGCGATTCTTTACGAGTACCGTGGTTTCTTCGGGAAGATCGACGATTCGATTACGCGAGCTCGGATCACACGGTGACGGAGTTTTCAGAAGGGCGCGGTAATTTCGTCATGAAATTTTTTCGTCGTATATCGTACGAGTTCGTAGACTGTTTTCATTCGCGAGATTCACTATCACGAGAGTCTTTATCTCGAAGATCGAGTCCTCCAGATTAACGTTTGCACTAATCAAACTGTTACACGAGACGAAATTCTATATGGCGATCGTCCGTTCACTGGACCTACAGACAGTTGCACTGGATCGAAGACACTGGCGGCGTTGCGCGTGGATCGATGGTTCGCGCGAAATCAACACTCACTTTCGTCGCTCGTCGAAGCCGTTCGTCGCTTCCGGATATTACTCGAGAAGCCGACTGATCGGTTTTAATAACCGTTCCAAGCGAACGATCGGTTTTCAATGTTTTTATCGTTTGATCGTTCGATCGTCCAAAGTTCCGTTGTAATCTCGTTGGCGTTGTCGCGGAGCGGACGCCGATGGCGATCGATCGTCGAGAGGCTCTTTATTTCTGTCACCTTCCGATGACTTTGCCTGTTTAGGGGAGAACGCTCGAGCTTCGCTCGTCCACTCAACTATCGCGTATCACGTGCATAAGCAACGTCTACGCGGTTTCGTAGATCATCGGAGCGCCAACCGTTGGTAGATGTTTACGAGCGCAGTTACCAGGAGGCTGATGCGCAACGGTTTGTTTGTAAATAGCTTCGATCGCGCTTCTCGCGGCAAGAAAAACCTTGATTTGTCATTAATAAAACGGGATAGTCACGAGGTACGCGCGTGTCTCGCGTATTTGCGCTGCGTTCTCGATGATCAATGAACGCCAGCTAGAATAGCGTTTGTATTTGTTTAACAATAGCGTTATCCTTTTGCGAAGATACGCGAATGTAACGATTATTACGTTTCCAATACTCTTCGTAGCGACGAGCAGATGATTATATTATTGGAATTGACTTGTCGACACTGGATGATTAAAAGAAACGACGATACCAGAGTGATGGAACTGCGGTCGTTGTCGAGACGCGATAGTTAAATCGTTTCGTGGAAAACTGTCACTTCAAAGTGGCGAAGCACGACACCGCGGCGAATGATCGGCATCACTGAAATTCTCCGACAGAATTTTTGCGCTTCCCTGCGGTTCGGTTGGATCGCGTGAATCGAGATCGAAATGGAGAATCGAAAGGACGGGAAGAGGGAGCACCTCGAGACGAGGTCCGAGCGGACTTGAAACCAGCCGCGTACTCGTTGCGTCCCTCTCGCAATCTGAAACCCAGAGCGACGGTCCACGTCTTATCAGGCTGTTCACTGGTCTCGGTTTATCTCGACCATAACCTTGGCTATGCTACTCCGATCGTGACACTTTTTCTTTGTAAAATCGCGTCCGCGATTAGACTAATTCTTGTCTCGTTTTTTTTTTCGCGTTATAGATTTTCTTTTAAAACGATATCAGCAGCTCGTCGCTCTCCGCCAGTGACATCGCGATTATCTCTGACTGCTCCGTGATTCTCTATCCAATAGGCCTTTCATGAATCACGCTCGATAATTTCATAGTCGGTTATGTTACAAAGTGCATCGAAAAACTTCCGCGATTGCATTATAATTGACACGAGACGTGTAGCGCCAAAACATCGATATGCAAGCGATAAACGGTATGCCGAATAATTTGGACCAGAAAACCCCAAGGTTTTCCCGATTTCTTTTAAATACGTCTCTTATACGCTTCGATTCTACGTTTCTTCGTGATCGATATGTTTCATCGAATACATCGAACGTTCAACCAGTAAAACGATAATACGACTCCACCTGTAAAGGCGATGGAGGCCTTTCTTATTCCTCGCGTTCCAGTCCTAATACGAGTTTCGGCAAGGTGCAATCGAAATGAACGAGTCTCCTTGTCCTTTCCTTCCGTACCGGTTGGCGAAAGCTTGACGGCGATGACGACAACGACGATGACGACGACGACGACGACGACGACGACGACAATGACGATGGACGAAGAAGATTACAACAACGACGACCGGTAGGAAGATAGGACGAAGAAGATCATCGATAGGAAAGGCTTTGTTAGTAGTTCTATCCTCTAATCTGTTGGACGCGGCGCGCGCGCGTCTATCTCGGCTGTTCGTCTTTGATCAGCGGCGGGCGGTCGTGAGGTTTTTACACGCGTGTCGATGGAAATCGTGGCCGGGACCGATGTAAATGCCGAATGCCAATAGAGAGAAAAACCCAATGAATCACGTAGCAGCGATACTTTGGGACGATTCGGCCGGCGCTGCTCGTCGCGGGTCTTCTTTTCGTGCGGCGATTCCAAGCCGAATACGAGTCGCGCCGCGGCGACCGGTAAGAAACGGCGAATTCCACGGCCGTTGAATCGCGATTTTCGTCCTGCCACGCTCTGTTTTTGTTTTTTCCCCGGTATCGGCTGCACCAAACTCGTCTCGAGTTCGTCATCGGTCCGCAAACGTCCGCTCCATTCACCCAACGATGATTATCCCCCGCTCTGTCCACTGCCAATGACTTTCTTTCCCGGGTCTCCGAGTTTCGTACGACTTTTCTTGGGAATCCTGCGAATTCCGTTCGGCCACCGATCTTCCACGTCGATGGGCCCGTCCTGCTCGAATTAATCTCTCCGTTGTCCTTTTATGATCTCCTGCGGAGACACTGACCGTAAAAGGTGCACCGATCGGTTCACTTTCGGAGGTAAATGAAGAACGCGGCTTACGATACCGTGCAACCTTCCACGTCGATGTTTTGGCAACGTCCTGCATTTAATTCGTCGCTTTCGTCTTTTCTTTCCTCACTGTGTCCACTATGATTGATCGTCGACCGATTCGATGAGCGATCACCGATGCTTTACAAATCTCATCCACATCTGCGCGTGCGATTGAAAACTAAACGACAACCAGTGGTAGTGAATTTCTTCGCGAATGTTAACGATCGTCTTTGAGTTAGGCCTGATCGACCGAAAAATCTACACTGCCGCGAGATCTCGGAATGTGCGATTTGATTAGCGGGTACCGCGGCACTATGGAGCCGGTTTCGCGGGGTTCTTGGCTTCAACCTCGAGGATCAGAGAGCTGGAGGGACCTGGAGGGAACTTGGAGGGACGCATAGAAAGGTGGAGGTGGTTCTGAACGTTCTCTAAAACTGTGCGTGCATCGCCCTGTCGGAGGAGAGGTTTCCACCCTACCATCGACGGCCGCCACCGAACCGTCTCGCACTAGCTGCTACCTAAAAGGGGGAAATTCTGGTGGGGTATCGATGTTGGCACGCTTGCGCCGCAACCTGTCTCCCTCGTGCGAGAAACCGCGCGGGGGACACTGCCGCGTCCTAGTACAAGATTTTCGAATGATTTGCGGTAGATGCGGTCGAATCGAATGGAAAATCGAACGTGAAAACGCTGTAGTCTTGCTTTTCGATCCGCGTGTTTACATGCTCGCCAAGTTTCCGTTTCGGAAGGACGCGTGTTCCCTTAAAAAAGTTTGCATCGTTTTTTAGAAAGATTTGCCTTTGCCAACCACGCTCGTAACATAACGTACGGAGGATACCAAAAGTATACGAATATCGTACAATATTTATTATAGCATTTACGTATCGATCGATTAAGTCCAATTGTATCGAATTTCGTGTCATTTTGTACTATTTTCGTACGAATACAAAAATTTCATACTCTCATTTTAGTTTCATTTTCAAGCGTTCTCAAACTCGATCAAACTCGATACGATACAAAATATTTTAAGCGCCTGCAGTATCCGAATTAAGATGGGACTAATACCCACGATAGCGTGGATTTATGGAAGTAGAACGATCCGGGTAGAAGTTCCGATTTCTAAAAACACGTAATTTAATTTAGAAATAGTATCTCCTTTAAATAAGAGTATAATCCAATTTGAAGGAACGCTGTCGTGCAAAATTTCGACGAGTTTTCAAAATACATTAAATTTCACATTGTTCCTACATTCGCGAGGATTCGTCTTTACTATATCGATAGACGGATCATCCAGGTCTATGGATATCTTAACCCAATCACAAAAATGGAATTTTCCGTTCATAAGCTAAAATAAATCGAAAAATCGAATCAAGTTTCATCGCAAATATGAAAATGTCTATTCGTTATTTTTATCCCCTTCCAAGATTCAGTAGTTTCATGAATGATATTCAAGAAGCGTAGCTTCTCGCACGGAGCCTTCTTATTTCTCATTTACGAGGAGGAATTTTCATCAATGAAGTAAACTACGATAATGGTCTTGAATAAGTGACGAGTTCGGTTCTTTCATGAACAAAAGATGTCCTTCCGCTCTGTCGAGCAGAAAATCTCCAAACGTCTATCGCTGGAAAGCGAAAGAAATAAATGGCAGACGAAAAGGAGCAACGAAAAGGAGCAACGAAAACGTGGAAAGGAAAGCTTCGCGACATTTCACGAATGTCAGAAGATTCGAAAGAAGCAAGACGGAACAGTAGCGTGCTAATCAAGACCGATGGTCAATAATGGCGGCCACGAGTTGGTCTGATTCAAGTCCAACCTATCCTCCTTCGGGTGTTGGGCATGTACGGGGTGGTTTAAGCCGCAACTTCGCCAGAGCTTGATTCTAGTCGTGACTCGAGAGCGAGACATATTTTTATCGTACCTGGGTGAATCACGGACCTTTTGTCTATGCGTTATTCGGTCAAGTATCGTACGCTATGCATACTACCATCGCCACTAGCGATGGAAGCAAGCGCTCGATTCTGTTGTAAGAAGCGATAAATCGTTTCGCGTGGTCGTTGGTTACGATTTTTCTTGTCTCGTTCTCTCTAGTCGGATGAGAAGTTTACGGATTCGAGATAAGATTCGTCGTTGACATCGAACCAACGAATTTAGCCAAAAAGAAAAACGCCGCTATACCCAACAGGCGACTCAACCATGTAAAAAGTCGAGAGTGTATTCGTGTGTATCGTAATCGTCGTAAACTCATTTTACGCGTTACGTGTAGACAATGTCGAAACGACACCGAGAACGTTAAGTCGGTGGATTTGCTTGAAAAGCAAGCGGAGGGTGCATTGAATGCCCATCGCTAGCGTTGGCGCTGATGCGCGCGCGCATAGCGACTTACATGCACATGTTCCTGAATAGACACATATCCAGAGGGTAGCGTCGACCCGTCGGATCACCCGTTGGATGCACTCAACGAAATTAAACCTACGTTCCTCGACCTCGGGCGGACGTCGCAGTCACGTCCAGCCGAGATATCGGCAACGTTAGCTTTTACCACGTTTTGCGCGCGCCACTTCAAACTTATTTCCGCGAAATTTCGCGGCCACGAATCTTAACAGAGCACCTACTCTTATACGTATCTTCGCGCTAATCCGCAGTCGACCCTATTTTAAATTAACTTCCACCTTTACCTGGACGATGCTTGAAGTACCTTTCTCATTTGGGATCGTTTGTTTGAAAAGAAAGATTTGAAATTAGGTCCTAATTAGACAGATACGTTTCGTGTATTAGAAATTATACGTATGAAAGGTTGAACGTCTCCGAGGGAAAGTGGTAGGAGGAAGAATATCCTTAATATGGGAGAATCGTTGATAAAGCAAAGCATTAATAGGAAATTAAACGTCAAAACTTGTTATCACGTATGAAGCTTTTGGAAATTTAGTAAAAAATCCTGTATCTCTGTACCTGGTTTTTGGAAAAGATGCGCTCCTCGCGTGTCTTCGCGCATTCCAACGTCAAAAAATGTCATCTCGATCGTTCCGATGCAAATAAACGAAATTCTTCTTTATTAAAAATCCCAAACAAGAGAAATTCTTGCTGCGTTATACCATTCGCGATTAACGATCTCTGGATCACCGATCAGCCCTTCCGATATATACTTTCAAACACCCACGTCGAACGAATCGGTTACGTCCTTTTACTTGATTCCCTAGCTAATGCGATTGAAAGTAGCGCGGAATGGGAAATTGGGTTATGAGCACGAAAGTGCTAGGTGGCGAGGATCCTCGAACGACTCGAAAGTATCGGAGCGTCTCGTTGGAAAAAAGAGGTTTTTCAGATCGCCACTCCGCCATCGATGACTTCTCTTTTTTTCTTCGGTGAACTAACAGGGAAAATGCTTGGCGAGGCCGGCTTGGAAAAATGTGGAGCACGTTGACGTTGGAGCAAGGGAGCAGACGAGAGGATATCGAACCGGCAAGTCCAGAGGCGGAGTTGCCCCACCAGGTTTCCATGGAAACGTGACACTCTCTTTCGGGCTTTTCGAGCTTTTCGAGCTGTTCGAGCTTTTCGAGCTTACTATGGTTGCTCTTTCTCTCTCTCTCTCTCTCTCTCTCTCTCTCTCTCTCTCTTTTCACTCCCCGCGCGTATCGGCACCGCAGGATCGCCGCGTCGCGTCAGAGGATCGGCCTCGCCTTCAAAGAACGATATTTCCCGTTATTTTCCTCAAACCGAAGGGAAAAATTATTTGGTTTCGCGGAAACTGATATTGCAGCCCCGGCCAGTTTCTATTTTCAAGTTTTATTTTGCCATGGCGCCGTTTCTCTTTCCGCTACCTCCGATACTGGATCATCTCCGAGTTTCAAACGCCGCTTCTCCTCCCTGTCCATTCAACTGATCGTTTTCTAAATGACGATCGGACTTGACACCCCACTGATTATAAAGCTACTGGTATCAACGCGTTTGACTGTCATTTTAGTCATTTTAGTTAGACTGTCAGTTTGACTGGAATTTTATATATAATATTTCCACAAGTTACGATAGATTGAAATATATTCACGATATTTTGTCCTCGTCCGTCGATATTATCCAAGTCGTCCATATTGTTGAAAATTTTTCAGTGGATGTTTCAATCGCGCCAAGAATTTTAATAAAAGACGTTGACTATCGATGGTCAGCGTGACCGCCAACGCGTTAAAAATATCATACTTTCCACTTGAAGAACAGAGTTGTTCATACAGCTACGGAAAGCATTTGTACGCAAGTACACGTGTACGTACACTCAGTTTCCAATGAAGCGTTTTTTAATTAACCTTTGTATTTCATTTCACACAGTATCAAATGTTTCGGAGTTTTAGGGAGAGGGATTAATGGGAAACTGAAAGGAACAGAGGTGTACAAAATACGCGCAATAGTGGTATATAAAATGTCCAATTACAATATTTAGTAGGCGAAACAAATGTTTGCAGTTGTGTTCATAAAAATGTAAAATCGCATAAATATCCGCGGTCTACTTCGATATAAGAAATTCGCTGTACGATAATTTGACGTTCAGGAATCTCCATTGGTTTTCTACGTCTACGTTGTTAGCATTTTATTCTTGGAACCTCCAATTGCAACGAACGTCTCCGATCTCATTGAAATTGCATAGGTGATAGTGTGGAAACATTGTACCTGTATACGTAGTTCGTATATACAGTAGACACATACGTATACGCGAAAAAGAGCATTTTCGTCTGAAGAATAACATTTGAGGTTTCGCATAATGGAGGATGTGTTGGTGCGAGTAAGTAGAATAGGTAGATTTGATCGATATCGTCAATTATATTAAGTACAATATTTATGATGCATATGTAGATCTGCGTACGTATGAAGTATCGAACTTATGTTTATCGTTCAAGAAACGATTTTTCAATAAACGAAAAATGGTCTAATAGAATTAATCAAATAACGCGATGACATAGTAAGACTTATTCTGCTTTGGAAAATAAAAATATATACGCGTACGATAATCTTAATGTATAATTATTAACAGAACAAATGCTGGAATGAAAATATCAAACTCGACGACGTCGAGCCGTCTTGAAAAGTAAAATAGGAAAGAACAGTGCGCATTTGGCGAATCCTACGTATCGCCGGCGCTGGTACACAAGCGGAAAATGTACTTTCATCGGGCACACATCTTGTTCTGTCCTTTCCAATGTACTTCGTAGTTTCTGGCTCGAGCATGTGTTCTCTCGCGTGTGAAATGTCCCCACGATTTGCTCTTCGCTCTTTCGCCCTTTCTCTTTCTCTCCTTCTCCACAGACCTATGCGCGTTGCTCCAAACGGCATCGTCGTTTACGTAAGTTAGAACAGCGTTTCTCAAACAGCCTCAAATCGAGATCATCTCTGTCGTGGTATCGATAGAAACGCGTATTATCTTTGGATGAAGTTTCGTAAATCTCGAGAGAGTATAGAAAGACGAATGCCTGCAATTAAGCTTCGTAAGATCGCGTGAAATTTATTGT